GCTCTTCCCCTCCAAGTCCTGCTAGTGTCCCCACCCCAAGCCTCTGCCGTCACGAGGAACAGGGGCATACTCACTTCCCCATGTCATTGGGGAGGCTCTGCAGGGACACATCGTTCAAGGCCAAGTGGCCCAGGCTCCGAAGCTGCGTGAAGCCCTCTGGAAGCCTGTGAAAGCATGACAGAACAAAACACCATTAATTCTGTGCACAAAACAAGCCCTAAACTCCTCATTTAAACCCCCAAAAAGCCAGTCTTACCCCAATAGGTATCAACATGTAAGGAAAGAAGAGCAGGAACCAAGTCTGACCCTGGCTCTGATCCAGGATATGACCCATTTTTCCAAGACAATACTCCCTTGCACCAAAGTCACTGCCTGTCCAAGTGTGCTAACTTGGCTTTGCAGTACTCAAGCACAAATCCCAGACTAAATCATGCCATGTGATCACTTAAACTTGGAAGCAGGGAGGGCTACCAACTAGTCCAAATGCGCATCTAGGGATATTTCTGCAGATGACACTGCAGCATTCCCCAGGACCAAGCAGTGTCATCATGACAGCTCCAAGGGTCAACGGAACAGGGAAAGACCCGTGAAAAGGAGAAATCCTTGCTGTTCACAGGTGCTTCCTGGAGCTTCCCTGCCCCACTGCTCATGACACACATCTCACAACTCTGGCTAGTGTAGAAGTGCTGGTCATTCACACAATACAGGGATTCTCAGTGATGGAAAAGCCGGTCTCATTCTGTCAGCGTCTGGCACCACGGGAGGGAAGCAGAGTTAAATCTAATCTCAAGGGTGATGAGGCAGCGCTCGCCCAGGAGCACCAAGGCAGCAGGCAGCTGGAGCCAGACTGGCATCTGCAGCAACCTTGCCAGACAACGCGCCAGGACACCAGTGCCTGAAAAGACTGCTCAGCAAGGCAGAGGGGCCACACTTACATTCCCAAAACTTTACGGATTAAGACCTGTAGAGACAGAAGGCTGAAGAGACAGGGCAGAGGGCCCCGTTCTTGGCCATCTCTGAGCACTGAGGTATTGGGGAAGCCGGTTAAAGACAGAGTTCAAAGGCTGGCCATCCTAAGTCATTAATAAGAAGACAGAGAGCAAAAAGGGCTGACAGAGAGCAGGGGACAGCATGCGGGCTTTTCTCTACTCCTCTGTACTACGAGTCTGCATCCATTCTGGTTTGTGCTCCAAGGTGAAGGGGTAGGAACAAACTTATTCCAAGAGGACAAAAGTCCTCACCATTCACACCAGTAGCACCAATATGACTAAAGGCTCATCAGTCCGAGCCACAGGCCCCACAGAAGAGGGAACATAAATGGACATCTGCAGGTCTTGGCAAAGACAGGGTGATCCCAGGCCTTAACTTCAAGGGAAGACAATAACAAGATGCAGACCAGAGAAAGCTAGGGAGAACAAGGAACTTCAGCTCTCGTTCTCAGCTGGACAAAAGGGCTGCACATGCTTTCCTACCTGGAGAGAGGATTCCCACTGAAGTCTGCGATTTCCAAGGATTTGCAGAATTTGATGCTTTCAGGAATTTCTGGAATGTCTGCAAAAAATACACGAAAGAAAAAAAAGAGGCTTGAGAAGAGCCTGTCATGTGGAAAATGGGTCACCAGGTACCAGTGACAGCCTAAGACGCAGTAAAACAACCATATTTCCACAGCTCCTGACCCACGAGAGATTACGGCAGGACTGTGGAAGGGCACTGCCTCTTCCCAAACACGAGTGCACAGGGTGGTACCACCACACTGCAAGAGGCAGGGCTGTGGGGCACCCACTCCCCATTTAGCTCTGACCTTACCATTACGGGAGATGTCCAGTTCCACCAGTTGCATGAAGTTGGCAACCTCCGGGGGAAGTCTCTGGATTTCATTGTCACTCAGGCCCAGCTTGCGCAGGTTCAGAAGCCTGAAGAAAGGCTGTGACAGGAGAGAACAAAACCAGGTCAGCAGCAGTTCTGCAGGAAACCTGTCTTCTCACCCCAGGGCAAACCCGAGCATCCATCCTGGGAAACAACCGCCTTCTCTCATAACCCCTGTCCTGGGGAGGTTCTCAATGCAGTCACTGCACAAATGAGAACCCCGATTAAGGTCTACAAGAGATGAAAGAAGAAAGGCATTTAATGAGTTTAGCTTGCTGATTCATTTAACATCTCTGTTAAATCACTGCTCTTCTCCCTCCCTTGTACGATATACGGATGTTCCTTGTCTCCAGAGGTAACAGTTCATCTCAGGCACCCCTCATCACGAGGAAGTCACTGCAGAGCAGCTAGCCAGCAGACACTGCAGTGTTCATGAGCTTGGTCCAGAGAAGCCAACACAGGAGAAACATCAGGGGACCTCCAGACCGAAGCCCTGTCCCTGCTGTCGTACACATCTGCCGTGCAGGACATCTTGTCAAGACATCAGTGACAGGTCCCCACACCAACAGGGAACACATTTGTGCTGCTTGTACCAAAAAAGAAAAAGGGCAGGCCAACTGTCTGTAGTGCCCAAGTAACCAAGAACTAGAGAAGGAGAGAAAAACCCTTTCTAGAAACACCACAGCCACAGAAATGCCGACCAGAGGGACCTCCAGAGGTCACCTGGTCCAACAACACCCAACTTCCTCCCACCCTGTCCTTGGAGGTCAATTACATTAGCTATAAGTGGTAAATTACAAGAGTCATCAATCATCTTCCTTCCAGACATCAACAGCCTCTCAGTGGGTTTACTAAACACACCACACTAATTATCAGCTGAACACATCTGGGAGCTGCTTCTCACTATTGTCAGGCGTTAGGACACCGGACAGGATGGAAGCAGGGCTGTGGTGTTTGCTGCATTTCCTGGATCATTTCAGGGCACAAGGGGAAAACAGTCTCAGGCCACTGCAGAAAATGAGACAGTTTTAAGAAGTTTACCTGTACCCCACAAACAGAGGAAAGCAGAGGTTCTTACACACCTGTAGTAACACCGTGTCTCCGACAATGTGTCTGGGCTCTGCCGCAGCACAGACAAGTGCTCTAAGTCACCTCTAACACTTCAGGAGTTTTAAACGGCCAAACCTGAAGAAGCTGATAACTCAACCCGTGGCACAAAATAAAGTAGCGATGAAGGCAGGAACAAGCTCAGGTCTACGAAGTGACATGCAGACTAATCCACATAATCACCCTGTCTGCCCTGCGCCAGAGGCGGAGGGAGTTAGTGAGAACAGAAGATGTAATCACAGGATTACTTACAGATCAGAAAACACGTCCAGAGAGTCAGGGCTGCGCACGGAGAAGGATCAAACAAGAGTTTGAGCTCTGAACCTTCTCTCTCAGCTGCCTTTCCAGTAATCCACCTGCATGAAGGGTGCAGAAATGGACCTGCCCAGGAGCAGATGTGGGGGTACTGAGATCTGCTCTGGTTTGGGGCGGTGGGACACCCGCAGCTGCCACTGGTGTTACGCAGAGAACAGTAACACAGACCGGACAAGAGCAGGCAAGGAGTGAAAAAGGGGTGCACAGCACAACCGTGAAAAACACCCAGAGCCCAGAGTCGTACTCAGCGTCCCTCCTCACGCCGAAAGGGAGAATGGCTCTGGGATGAACAGCAGCGATACAAAACTCATACTCCTGATGTCCTAAAGCAGTGCAGCAGACCATTAGCAGTAGAACACATTAAAAAAAAAAAGGGAAAAAAAGTCCTCTTGACACTGAACAGCACAAGTTCTTTTTAATTCAGTTTATCTAATGCAAATCAGTTCAATAAGAGAGGAAGTAGGTGAAAGTCTAAATAACAATAAAGGTTCAAGCCAGAGCAGGAGGTTTAGAGACTTGATTTGCTATTGTTTCCTAGATCCTTCTCCTAATTTTAGAATGCAAGGAAATTCCAGGCAAGACATTGTGTTGACCTGCTAGAGCCTACAAGTCGGAAAATAACCAAGGGAACAGAATATCTACAGTCCGAACTCCTGGCACTCCCGCCTACACATTTTAGGCAGTCTCAAAATACATGCGCGCACTCTTTCAAAAAAACTTTTTAGAATAAACTGGAATAAAATCACACTGTATGCTGCACTGCAAGATGCGGGAAGCATTTACTGACAGCAGAGATTGATAAGCTGACGGTCCGTGGGGCAAACCGGCGGCTGTGAACATGGACGGCAGCTCTGCGGCAGTGAAGGTTCACTTTCTGAGCTGGGCCATCAAAACCAAAACACCACGCTGCTTTGGCACCGCAGCTGTACCCGTGCAATTTAACAGAACAAAATGCATCACAGGCCTTTCACCAGCGTAACCACCTTACTGGAAACACTCAGAACCTGCAGGCACACAGACACGCCTGCGAAGCCAAGCGCAGACCAAGCCCCCGAGCGAGGCTGGCGTGACAGCCTCACAATTCTTCCCATCCAATTGGCTTTGCCTCAGGAAGACATTGACTAAATATAATGTTCTAAAATACCTTGGTTTGTATGCTGCTTTTTATATCCATTAAACAGCACTTTTTCTCCCCCAGCTTTTTTTTTTTAATAAAAAAGGTAAAACTCACAAACCTCAGAATGCTGACAGACTGTTATGAGGTCAGTGCACGAATTTACACTCAGCAAACAGCAAGACAAGACTAGTACATCCCACTTCTTAAGATGCAGGTAAACTGGACTTGAATAAAATATGTTAACGTATTACAAAAATTCAAACTAGTCAAAAGTCATCAGTGGAGGTCACAAAAAACAAATGCAGAATTACAGCGTTCCCATACAAGAACTAAGATCTTATACTTGGAAAAAAAAAAAATTAAGCAGAATCCAAGTGAGCCACTCTGACTAGAAAAACCTTCTTGTTAATTGTTAGGTACCAGCCACCTACTCCCCATCGTTAACCCCTTACCAACAGGATTGTGCCAATGAAACTGCAGCACAGACACACCAACAAGTCTGCGTTTTCCCTTTGCTCAGGAATGTCTTCGCTACAGCAGCACAAACAGTTTTGCTGGCAGAGCACAGCGACGTGTCCAGAACCAGTCTCGCAGACTCGCCTGTGGCTGCATCACAGCAATGCGAGAGCAGACCAGCGCTGCCGAGGCACATAACCGGACACCGGTTGTTCAGCTGCTGCTTGGAGACAGGACCGTCCTCAGGAACGAGCACTTACCAGCGCAGAGCAGATGTGCTTCCAGTTTACGCTGGAAAAGTCTGTGGAAAACTACCAAGCAGCTCAAGTTTGCTTTTATCTCTACCAGGACTACAGTTAACATGACATACAATATGAAACACGATGTCATCAAGAGCTGCAAACGCCGCATCTAGAGCAACGCACACCATTTTCACTTCACTGCTTGTGAACTGTGTACGGCAACTCAATGCCAACAGCCAAACTTACAAAGCCAGGCTGCACGAGGGATTCATTTGTGACACTGGAAATGGAGAAGAAATTAATTTTAAAATTGTTACTGGAACTAGAAGTGAAAACTTAAGCAAGGATCTCTTTGGAGACTGGCAATTAGCGCTTTTTCTCATCAACATCAACCCTGTCTCATACAGCTGGAAAAAAAAAAAAGTCACAAATTTAGCACCATACTGAATGTCTCTATTGAAATGAAACACACACAACTTCAAGATTTTCTGAATATTAAAAAGAAATTTAAAAAAAAAAATCACCAAATCTGCATGACCTGGATCTTTCAGTGTCCAAACTAGACTGATGAAAGATCAAAAATTGAAGTTTGAAGAAAAAAAACCCAAGCAGCAACCTTTCACTGTTTCCTGGCACACCAGAAGCCTGAAGATCACATGGAGCAAACACGGATTAGTACGAAAAGAGCCCAGAGCACAGGAATCCAGCCAGCTCAGAGTACGACGGGAGCCATCACAGAAAAGCTCAAGACAAAGATGGGGGGGTACACCAATATATTCACAGCACAGTTGGGCAACCAGGGGGAAAAAAGCCTTTTTAAGTTAGAACATATTACAAAGATATTCTACTGTTGAAGGATGTGAACGGTTACAGGATGGCTAAAATGGAAAACAACAACAAAACTGTCTTGCAAATAAGACTCAGGGGACAACGTGCAGAGCAGCACAACTGCAACCTAACAGATTGGAAACACGCAGGCCACTGCTCTCGTCAATGCACTGTCTGAAAATGAGCGGAAGGTGTAAAGAGCCCGTAAAGCGCTATAAGCCAAAATACTCCATAAAACTATAACATTGAAAAAAAGAATGTGCAATACAGGCTCTGCGGCACGTTTTCAGCTGCAACATCCTCATTCAGCAGGCGAAAGCAGGCAAACATGTGAGAAGTCATTCAAGAGAGATCTATAATTTCTGAAACAAAACGGAATTATTTCCATCTCTTTAAAAAAAAAAAGGCAACCTAGATCCATGGATTTTTCAGTCAAAAGGGGCAATGAGGTAATATCCTTCTAATCCTCTGTGTCTCACAGGCCCTTACCACAGGATCATGAAATAATTCAAAGGTTGGAAGGAACTTTGGGGGGCCTCTGGTCCAACCTCTTGCTCAGAGCAGGGTCAGCTACGAAGTCAGACCAGGTTGCTCAGGCTTTTGTCTCATCAAGTCTTTCAAAACCTCCAATGATGGAGCATCCAAAAATCCTTGGGGCCCCTGGGTCCACCAGTTAATTACCCTCACAGTGGAGAAAGCTCCCTTGTAGCCAACTGCAAACCCCTTGTTCCGTGACACCTGATGCTCTCATCCTTCCCCGGCACTGCTGGGCTCCATCTCCGTGATCATCTCCCCGTACATACTGGCAGGTTGCTACGATATCCCTCCAAAGCAGTTGTTTTCTGTAGGTTGAAAAAGTCTCACTCCTGCAGTCCCTGCCCACCCCATGGACCCTCCGCTGAGCTCACACCAGGTTGGCGACGCCGTTCTGGCCATGGATGTAGCATCGAGGGGTGGTCTACGGCGTGCTGAGCAGAGGGGAGCCACCGCTCCCCGGTCCCTGGGTGTGCTCCCGTCGGTTTGCCCAGGATGCTGCTGGCCCCCCCGTGACGCCAGGGCACCCGCTAGACCCTGCAAGGAGCTGAACTCTACGTGCACGGACCAAGAATGAAAGCCAAGCACCTTCAGGCACAGCCTCTACGTGCACGGACCAAGAATGAAAGCCCGGCACCTTCAGGCACAGTGTCCAACAGAAGAGTGGAGAGGAGGTGGTTGTGTACAAAGAACGTTGTCAACAACAGTACACGCAACATTCTGTCAAACTCACAGGCCTGTGTGCACAAACAAATAAAAAGCCTCAAACGTGCCTTTTTGCTGTTGCCAGGCAAATATCGAAGTGTACAACCAATATAAGCAATGGAAGACAACCATCAGAACTTCAGGAGACCCCTGTGACAAACCTTTCACAACTAAACCACACCAGCCAGCTGGAAGCTGCACTCAGGCGAGTTACGCAGCTTCCTGATATCGAAGGGTTGGGTTCCCAAGAAGCTCCAGGTAAGCTCACCGACCACCCTGAGCTATTTATTCCGCTCCTGTTAGAGCACACAACACTTGCTTGTCAGCTAGGTCCAGCTAACCACCATCAAACTGGAAAGACTTTACTTCTGTCTTAACGATGACTGATGCCTCAGCAACTTCAGAAGACCCACTTCAATAATGAAATATGATGATATAGGCAGAAACGAGAAAGGATGAAACCCCAGGGCAACTATTAACGAACCTCTTGATTCAGACCACTGCGTTTGGAGTAATTTTAAAGCAGAAAAGTTATCAGGCTAACAGAGCAGAATCATTGCTACGACAGTCAAAACTATCCTCATCGCAAAGGGAAAGAAATGTCGGCTTCAAATGGAACGATTACAACCAGCCAAGCAGAGAGCTATCCTGACCACACAGCACTCATCTCGAACGGTTAGGTCAGCCCCACTCAGGGAAAATTTCCAAACAGCACACTGTGGTTTTATTTGAGGTTATTCAGAGAAACAATAACAGGCTCAGCCAGTTTACGACAACAAGAAACACTGGTAGCAGCAAATACGGGCTCCATCTGTCAGAGTCACCTTTGGCTTCTGCTGAGGAACAGAAATACCTGTGCACTGAGAAAGCCCTGAGCCTCACGTACAGACGATGGGGCCCACTGATGTAGGAGACATTTCTCACGGAAAACACAAGGATGCCTGACGCTCCACTTTGCAGCGCTTCTCCCCCACTGAGATCCAAAAGCACCAAAGTCCCTGTTCCCATGGAGCTCAGCAGACATGAAGGGCTTTGCCTGCACCTAATTACAGGTCAGGTTAGCCCACGGCTCCAGCTTTGGTCAACAGCATACTCTTGCCTGGGAAAGCAGAGCAAACCCAGGAAGGAGGAAATACTGCCCTGATTCAGAAATAAGCTGGCCTCGCATCCCCAACATGTCACGACTGCTCCCGGGCAATGCAGATGGGTGGCACTAGAGGTGGTGCTGGCCAAAATGAAGAGAGGGAGATGCCTAACTCCTGAGCAGCAACAGAAGTCTGACAGTCCCCTGTATTCCTTCCTCACCCATTACATAAGGAATTCTGACTGTCCAACTCCAAAACTGGCTGCATCAGCCACCTCCTGTTCTGCAAGACAGGGAACAGAGCCGCTGCTGCCTTCATGTCCAGCCTTGACCAGCACGAGACGGGTATCTCACTGCCTACGGACACCAGCACAGAGCTTCCAGACAAATCAAGAAAGCAGAAAAAGTTTCTAGAAAGCCAATGTCTGCAAAACTGCAATGCAGCATGTAGCAGGACAGCGAGGGATGCAGATTTCCAAACACAGCAGTTCACTCAAAAAGGCAATTTCCATCATGGAGGAGCATTCAGCAAAACCACAGAATGGCCGAGGTTGGTCAAGCTCAGCTAGTCCAGCCTCTGCTCAAAGCAGGGTCAGCTACAGCAGGTTACCCAGGGCTGCGTCCACTCGGGCTTTGAATATCTCCAACAACGGACATTGTGCAACCTCACTGGGCAACATGTTCCAGTGTCTGACCACCCCTTCAGTTAAAAAAAAAAGTATTTCCTTATGTTTAAACAGATTTTCCTCTATTTCACTCTACCTCTTGTCCTGCCATTGGACATCACTTCAAGGAGTCAGGCTCCATCTCCTTTGCTCCCTGGAATCATATACACATAGGCAAAATTTCCTTGAGCTTCTCTTCTCCAGGCTGAACAGTCCCAACTCTCTCAGCCTAGATGCTCCAGTCTCTTAATCGTTTTGTGGTGCTTCACTGGACACACTCCTGTACGCCCGTATCTGCCCTGCACTGGGGTGCCCAGCACTGGACCCAGTCCTCCAGATGTGATTCCACCAGTGCAGAAGAGAGGGGAAGGATCACCTCCCTTGACCTGCTGGAAATGCTCTTCCTAACTGCTGGTCAATTCATGGTCCATCAGGACCCCAGTGCTTCTGCAAAGCTGCTCTTCGGGTGGTCAGTCACCTGCTTGTACTGGCGCAGGAGGTTATTCCTCCCCAGGTGCATTTCCCTTTGTTGAACTCCACGAGATTCCCCTTGGTCCGTTTTTCCAGCCTGTCAAGGTCCCTCTGAACAGCAGCACAAGAATGCGAAGTCACACTCAGCATGTATATACCCAGCAAAGCCATAGAGGGCCCTTGTGAGCCCAGTCTCTTGTTTACAAGAGGTCCTAGAAAGCGTTTGAAGGAGGTTCCATCCTTCTCTCTGCACTCAGCATGCCTCCAGCTCATTTATGCTTCTTCAGATTACTAACGTGACGTACTTTCTCCAAATCTCAATCCTGCCTCTTTGACTGTCGATGTCTGTATCTGTGAGGCTCCCAGCATTACTACTGAGGCTGTGACAAAGCCCCAGGACATGAAGAAAAGGTTAATGGAGCTATTAGGTTAGCCTGGAGAACCACAGGATTCAGATAGTGACGCTGGGAGTCTGACACCACCGCCAAGGGCTTCCTTTCTGCTGGGGAGTAATGCCCAGCAGAGCCCGGCCTCCTCCCCTGCTTGCTTATTCAGCCAGATCAAGAGGTGAAAAATGAAGAAAGGAGAAAGGACAACAGATAAAAGGAGCAGAACAAACCCTCTGAGCTACCACTCAACTATACCAGTTCCCAGAAACAATGAAATCCTGAGGGCAGCCCTGCAAAGCCAACCATTCCCCCGATGGGATGGCGGGGCCGGCAGCGCTGGGTTCCCCAGCCACCCCCAGGTCCTCAGAAGGGGCACAGTGGAGCTGGCCCCGCTGCTCTGGCAGGAGGGAGGGAAAGGCCTTCAGTCCCAGAACAACCCAAGCAGCCTGATCAAACAATCACTTAGATTGGAACAGCCCCTTAAGATCATTGTGTCCAACCGTCACCCCAACACGGCCAACTCCACCACCAAACCGTGTCCCCAGGCACCTTGTCTACATGCCTTTTAAATCCCTCCAGGGATGGTGACTCTATCACACCCCGGGGGAGCCTGTTCTAGTGCTTGACAACCCTTTCAGTGATTAATTTTTTCCTAATACCCAATCTAAACCTCCCCTGGCACAACCTGAGGCTATTTCCTCTTGTCCTGTCACTTGTTACTTGGGCAAAGAGACTGACCCCCCCGTCACTGCCCCCTCCTTTCAGGCAGCTGCAGAGCCAGGGGGTCTCCCCTCAGCCCCCTTCTCTCCAGGCTGAACCCCCCCAGTGACCTCAGCCGCTCCTCACAGGACTTGTGCTCCAGACCCTCCACCACCTTCGCTGCTCTTTTCTGGCCGCGCTCCAGCCCCTCAATGTCTTTCTTGGTGTGAGGGGCCCAAAACCGAACATGCTACTCAAGGTGTGGCCTCACCGGTGGCGTGTACGGGGGGCCGATCACCGCCCTCGTCCTGCTGGCCACACGGTTTCCGATACAAGACAGGATGCCCTTGGCCACCTTGGCCGCCTGGGCACAGCTGCGTGGTAGGGCACTGACAACGTACGGCAGGGTCAGGGACACCCAGCTCGCCGTGCAGACTGCCGCTGCCTGCGACGCTGGGATCCAGCCTGCAGCAATCACAGCCACAGCGTCCCTGCAACAAGGCCAGAGCCCTGCGCCGACCCCCGGTTCACACGATGGCAACACAAATGCGTATGTCCTACAGCTCCCATCCCACCCGCAGAAAAACAAATCTTCACAGCCAAGGAAGCAGAGAAAGCCTTTGGGTGCTGAAGCCTGGGACTTGGAAGCACTGACCGCTTCCGCACGCGGACTGCTCCCCACCTCCAGGT